CTGGCTGAAGCCAGGTATTACAATATATACAGATATTTAGAGAGCGTACAGATTCCTACAAGGCTTGCTTATGTGCAGCGTGTCGTCATCCACAAATAGCATTTTGTGCACTCAACAACTGGAGTGCACATAAACAATATTGAAGCTATGTGGTCGAGGATGAAAGAGTTCTTGCTAACTTATCATGGCTCCAGAGGCCGACTATTTTGTAGCCGTATGGATGATTTCCTCTACTGCATACATTACGATTTTAGAACCTCTGAACCTTCTTCTGACCTTGACAAGTTTTTGAACCACGTATAAGAATTGTATCCACTGTATTTCCTTGGTTTTGTATGAAATATTTTTACTCTATACTGACTGTTTGCTGATTGGCTAATATCTCTGAAAGTTGCTTAAGATTCGTTCAAGGTTCGTCCATAAACTAGAGTCTCGACAAATTTTGTTTAAGCACGGCTTCTTATTTTCCAGAGGAATGTCACGGACCAATAGTTTGATGCTGATTTATTATGCAAAATACCTCTTTAAATCGTGTTTAGAACGCTGAATTGGCTTCACTTCCTACCAAGTAATTTTGTTACAAGCAAACTAGACAATTCGCCAAATGCGAGGTCTGCTCAAGACCCTATAAAATCTACAAAAATGGGCTCAACTAGCTTCGACAAAAACGGGCTACAACCATCTTTATATCAGAATACTGATTTTAGCAATTTATTTTATAACTACACATAATCCCGTAGTTTCAGCTTCTTTCTGAACTACCTTCATTTATAGAGTTCTTTATCCACTCATATCTTCTTTGCACTTATTTTCTTTAACATGTTAGAATGCTCTTGCCTAATAAGTACCTTAAAAAGAGGATTAGACTGAGTAGTCATACCTTAACTATTCCTCCATGAACAATGTCTGTTCTGCCTCCCGTCCTTTTTCTTATTATACCCTGTTTCAGCCCCCTTGAGATGTGCCACCGAAAACAGATATGGAACGGGTGACTTCGTCCTGCACCATAGCCAAAGCCTCAGATATTCCAGAGGGATATCAGATTGTGGTTTCTAGAAGCCCCCAACTTCACATGGGTCTATTCTCGACCATCAGCTGCATGTCGCGACGCAACCTTCATTAAGCGCGCCAACTGTGATATTGGAAATACTATTCTTACTAAAAACGTCTACAATCATATCTTTTAAAATATCAACCCAGCTGAGTAATTTACTACAGTGAAAATTGTTCATTTTGTAACAGTTTGATCTTGTCTGTTAACTGGCATGCCTCGTGTAATAAACTGTTATTTGAGAATAAATCATTATTATTATATCATTAGTTTGCTGAAATCATTCATTCTGTAGGTAATTTATGTGAAAGTCACATCATTGTCTACACTGACTCGCCCTGTCATAATAATCAGCTGTATGATGTTTAGTGCTTCTGAAGAACACATTTGGGATAAGTAGAGAGTAATTTATTCGATACAAATGCAATAGGTTGTGTAGATAGTTAGCACGCCTGCATGAGTACGGCATGCCACTTTGATTAATTAATCTCACTCTCACCACTGCTGCCCATCTCTCCGTGTTGAATGTTACATACCAATTTTCCAAGTTATTTCATTTTCGGCTTAGAGTATCGTGTGGATGAACAGATACAACTACAAACACAAGTTGCTTTCTGTTCTGTCATTATCTGCATCAGATCAGCTTGAACATTGCGGCTAATGGCTAACAAGAGATTCAGAAAATATGACTTGACTATTTCTAGGTGAGTAAGGCCTACATTTAAGTTTCCTGTTTTGTCCGATGCTGGATTTATAAATTGGACACATTCTGCCAAAACAGTGGCCTATGCCTTCGTTGCGACGCACTTCGACGACCGCTCGAGATGGCATGCAGAGGACCCCTCAAAGTCCTGCAGTGTGAACCCTAGTACTATACCATCGATGAGAACGGAACTAACGATAACATTAGTAGGGATTTTTTCATAGCGGCTTGTTTAGAAGATAACCGTAATAATGTCGAAAGATACAACTCTCACGATTACGATATCTCATTCGATAATCGACAATCGCGACGATACTTCAGTGTTATCTGACAAACGACTTAAAACAACGCGTTCTGGAATAAGACTAAGGTTTCTAAAACACCTGAACGATTACTTCACATAAGACGCTAAGTAACACTTTCTTACGTTGTGTTGAAAAAAATTTTTAATATGTTCATGTATATTTAAATTTTTATCCCAAAAATAAGATATTTTTTGTTAATAATGCGCTTATAGGTGTATATTTTCTTTCCCACAAAAATTCATTCTACGAAAATAGTTTCCCCATGGCCCTGTATATTAAATAATGACGACCAGACACTTATGAACATGGAAAGCTATTAAAAAAGTGTTTGCTAACGAAAAATTCGTTGAGTTTAACCTTCTGACTGGCCACGTCTTAGGGTCATCACCTACCCACTAGAGAGAGAGAGTGATCTGTAGAGGTAAATAAATCCCCGAAATCAATTGATCTCCACGTTTTCGACGTTTGATGCCCACCGCATCAGTTTTAATGGACTCACCTAGCTGGAAGCTCTTGGTCACGTATCCGCACCAGATCACGAGTTGGAAGTCGTGCTTTACATCTACAATCGCTAGTGAGTTTAGGTTGATAACTTCTCGATATATCGATATTCTATCAAATAAATCTTCGAACCTCTTCGCTTCTGATTTGAATGCGTTGGCACACTTCGATTATAAAGGTGATGCTGGTTGAGGCGTTGTCAGAATCCAAATATTTGCAGTATCTTTAAATCTAATAATTATTTTAGAGACCACCATGCACGTACATAAGTAGAAAATGACGGTAATCAAATGTATTCAAATTGATGTGCCAACTAAGAATTCCCGAAACTGTGCAGTTTAAGGCAAGAAGAACTGGATGAGCACAGCAGGATTTATTGTTTTCGGGGTTCTTAACAACCGTACAGTCAAGTGCAAAAGCAACTTCAGCTAGTAAAAATGCCACAAATATACAGGAGGACCACCGGATATATGGTAGCAAATAGAGCTTATCGTGTTAAAAAACATTGTTCTCCATAAGACAATCTATTTAGGTGTGGGATATGTTCTTGCTAATGACACTTTTGATATTATGTTGATAGTCATTGCAATATTGTCACCTTTAAATTCAAGTTGAATAAAATCAGGTTTTCTGGGGCTTTTATTCTTGTGTTTTCTGTATTTATCAATCAATTTTGTGGGTATTCAACGTTCGTTAAACACTTTTCAATATTGATTAGTTTCTCTTCTAGTGTATCTGTAGTTAGTATTCTCCCTACATGGTGAGATAGTATTTGAAACAGTGCATTTTTGTTAGTGAATGGACAGAAGCTATTGAAATTCAGATGGATTTCATTCCGTGTATTTTTCTATAAAGCGAACGTTGGACTGTACCATCTTTCCTCAGTTTTACTGCTACATTAAGGAGTGGAACTTGTTTTCATTCTCATGTTTCATAGTAAAGTGAATTCTTTATAATATTCATTGACAATCTATCCAAATAGTCCTCAAATCGAGCAATAGCCAGCTCAGTCATACACCGAACGAATTTTGGAACCCCAGATTTTGCTATTACGATTGTTGTTAAAGCAAAAAATTTGTATATCGTCCCCTGACCGTTGTTCTTAGTTGGGTCTGACATGTGGAGACTAATACATTTCCACTTGACTCCAACAGACGAAATCTCGTTGACTGAATATTTTAACGGCCCAATTTTCCTACTGATACTGTGGATTACTGAAGAATATTCAGAAGCTAGATCACAAGTTGTCAGGGTACCTATTTAGGAATTAATCAAATCCGTAAGCACTGAAAATTTAAGCACTCTGGGAAGCAAAAGAGTGAATGAGAGTAAAAATTAAAAATATCCATACGTATTTTATGTGTGTTGATCAATTGTAGGTAAGCTGTTGATTGTCTGGAGTGATAAAATGAAGATTGAGGTGCAGATAGGTTAAATTAGGCTATCATATAATGTTACACAATGGATTAATTTTCTAAATTACAGTAGGTAGGCAGTAAAAAACTCAGCGGACTTACTGTAAATATTAAAGCAGATAAAAGTAAAGTAATTCAACAGCAAAGAAAAAAGAGACTGACGATGTAAAAATAATGAACAAAAACTCTTGTTTGCTTGTAGTTGAGGAAAAATTATAATAAAGTCGATAAGGTCAGTCTGCTAACGAGTAGTAAACTAATGATTGCTAACCTCGAATTCCAATTCACATTGCCTCGTTAAGTTACTAAATTAGGTAAGACAATGTAACAGCTAACCCAAACGTTTGTTAGACTACAATGAAAGGGAACCAGAGTGCGTTGACCCTAGTTGAATTTCATCATTTAGTTGGGGAAAGTAACATGTCTACACACAGTGGGAAGGCATGTAGCTTCGAACTCTTATTCTGACGGACTCATTTTAACAATAGTTCACCGACCGAGTTTTACGTTTAGCCGCTTATCTTTGGGTCCTAGAAGATTGTTATACCGAATATCTTAGAGAGAAGAAATGCTTCATGTGGTGTGTCTGGGGACACTGTCACAATATTTTTTTCGGAGATTTAAACTAGTATTGTGGCCGGGTAAGTATCCTTATCGGACAGTCATAAAGTTATTGTTAACATTAACGAGGGAAAAATTGGGGGCAATGAATTTTCAGCAAAGTTACGTAAACTGGCACTTTTCTATTACTCTCCCCACTAAGGTTAAGTGCAGTGTCTGTCAACTTTTCTTTTGTTCTTCTCTAGCTGTCTTCACTTAAGCTACCTTGAATACTGTCCTAGTACACAAGACCCTGTCGGCTAGACGCTAATCGCCACATGAGCCGTCATTAAACACTAGCTTTGTGACCTCGCATGTAATGTCATGCACGATAATGGGTTTTGTCAAAATAAGGCGCCCCATTTAAAATCGTCGCGCTGGAGTTCTATCTGTGTTTACTTAACTTCATCTCATCCCCAATAAAGGTCCTGGGTAAGCACATTGGTCTCAATTTGTCCTCTGCATCTGATCAAGATCCACAGGATTTTTCTTAAAATTTGTGTACTGTATATAAATTACAATATATTCCCATCTCCCTATTTTGAGAAAAAGTTTGTCCTTTTTGGGTAAATTTTGCGGAAATCACTGTGGAGAACTTCGGGGATATTTCGGTAAAATGGCAGAAAACCTCCGAAATGTTTGGGTTTTCCCCAACATTTCCCTAGAATCCTATCACACTTTGGAGTTTCCCCAAACCTTTGGGGAAACTACCATATTTCTTACGACTCTGGGGGAAACCCCCCCCCCTGAAAATTTCACACTCTTTTCCTCAAAATCTCTAAAACGTCTAATCTCCACTGCACAACTTACTAGGTCTACTTTTACCAAAGTCTCTCCTCGGTAGTATCCCTCATCCCTCCAAAGCGCATTTCCCCCCGGAACCTCATCTGAGAAATATTCTACTTCTAAATTCCTTACTACCCAGTCTTCCAATTTCGGAGTTTCCGTTTCATTTCCCCAAAATTTTCTGTAGGGGCCTCCCTAAATTTCCCCCGAAATAGAGAGATTGGGTACAAAATCTAAGTAATCACAAGTTATGAAGTCAATTAGTCTAAATTATCTTCCATTTTGGGAAGAATACTCAAGCATATATATTGGCGCTCTCTTGTACCAATATTCATGTGTCCAAATAAATAATAATTAAATAATACCGAGACACACACTTGCACGATGTTTATTTGAAGATTTTACCAGAACGCCTTGGTACGGTCGAGGGTGGGGAGAGTCCACTTCCCCTCTCGAAATGCTCTCACATGGCCATGTGTATACAGCTACTGCCAGGAAAGTTCTACTCACTGCCTTCTCGCGGTAGAGGTGTTTACGAAATGGGGAGGATGAAAATCGAATGTCCGGCGCTTTAACCTGGTTGGTGGACACGGAGAGTTCACCTAAGGGAGTTGGAAAACCCTGATTTCAAACCAGTGGTGCACATGGACTCCAGGATCCTGAGGGAACAAGTGGCGTATGAACTAGTTGTTGGTCATTGGCTACCATGAGACTGTATCTAACGTTGCTCCATTGCCTTATGGATTAGACCTTTAGGTCAGAAGCTTGGGGTGTGCCCCCTAAGAAAACCACCTGCTGTGGTTTGGGCACCCGGGCAGTATCACAGCCTTCACAGAAATAAATGGTAACTGCTACTGGTATCATTGTTATTTTGCGGCGCATGTGTATTTAGTGCCCTCTTGTACCAATGTCTGTGTTCTAATAAAAAAATAAAGAGAAATTTTAAATTACGCTTTCTACAGAATTCTGCAGCAAAGTTTACCGGTATATAAATATGGTTACGTGGGTAATAAGAATAGTTTGAATGTTATGTATAATATGAATAATATTACATACTGTAATGTACTGGCAAACTAGCAACATCAATACCACTAGACTGTCGAGAAGATATTACGAAAAATCTGAGCGTTGAAATAAAAAAATATGCACAACAGTCAAAACATAAACAACGAAGTATAAACTTGGTTTCATACTCGTTTTATGTTCCCTTCATCTAGTCTATCCCTGTAGTTATGGAAAAAAGCTTGTCCCAGAGTCTAAAATATTCTTTAGGTCTACTGTTATTACGTTGACCAGTAGTTACTGTAAACATGACATACCTTGAATCACTAAATAAAAGCTATAGTTTCTTATATCCAACTAGGTAGTCACTGCACGGCGCGCATTACTGACTAGTGTCTGAGACGGATGGAAGAAAGTTAGAGGCCGCTAAACCAAAACGTGGTATCAGCCCACAAAGTCACCAACTTCTGGTCTGAGCCATGTTGGTAGATGCAGACCACTTGGTTGGTGTCCGCGTGACTATCGAAACCAATGGTTGGAGACTCTTGGTGACATGGCTCAGAATCGATCACAATGGTGTAGGTGTATACACTGTCTTCCCTTAAACCGTGAGATTAGAATCACTTTATACCCTTCTTTCTACGCACTAATTCTTACTTGCTGTACCGCATTCTTATACTCAATCTTTTTTATGTACAACTATTACTAAAGTAACTGCGTTTATGAATTTGGTGGTCATCTTGTGCTAATGAGGTTTAGCAACTTGGATCGATGCATATATGTGCCTGGTCCTACGTTGTGGATGACTGAGTTGCTGCTCGACGTGTAATCCTCACTGCAAGTTGAGGCTTTATTATGTAAGATATATATCTCAGATGTCTTCTGCCATAAATGAACGTTGTTTGAATTTTTTCATCATCCACAGTGTCACGATAAATGCTGCCTATCTTATCTTTTATTTATGACTCGTAAACCTGAGAGGAATAGTTGACTGAAAGAAGTCTTGTCTTGGTGTTATATTTTAACAACATTCTCGCATTATAGCCTATTCCCATCCACTTAGTTATTATCTTGTTTTTGAACTACTCTTCTATTTCTTTTATTTTGTCACACACTGTCGCTTCATTTATGTGGTGGGTTCTTTATGTGCCCTAATTAAGTGATAATATAGCGTTTTTTTGCTTATTAAAGCTATACGAAATTGGGAATAAATTTTCTCTTCCGCCCAAATTACCTTGATCTCTGGTTTGTTGATTTTGTTAAGTTCTCCAATGTTGAAAGTTTCACCGGGTTTGCCAGATTGGTAACCACCTGAACCTGTATGTCATGGATAATAGATAGTCTCAGGTGTAACCATTATATATATATCGCTAATTCATGTTATCGTTGTTTTTGGTGGTTTTTTTGTCGAGGTTGTTGACTATATCTATGCTGTTTGTAACATGTGATTACTTTCAGTGACTCACCTTTCTCAGGTTATATTCCTGTTTTTTCAGGCGAATCTCAACAGCTCTGTATTTTTTATTTACTTGGATATTCGGAATTCCCTGCAAAAGTCCCAATTAATTTCACTTGGGATCATTTGATAGAACTGATTATGGAAGCACGTGAAAATCAAAAGGCCTCTGAAAAGTGCGTTTGTTAGTTTTCAGACACATTTAATGAAATATTTAATTAGAGGAACTCTTGTGCTAGTATTATTATGTAGCTAAACTTGTTTATAGGGAGCGGTGTGTAAAACGTTTTTCAAAATGCAATATAGACTAACCTAAGGTATTGCCGCTGAGCCACCCATTTCAAAAGCGTTTAGTGAACTAGCTGTCTTCGGGAAACTGTTATTCAGTTGTATTTGTTAAATGTTTCATTTCAGTTAATAGTCACGTATGTATGCTTGATAATCTAAGGTGCATTACATTTTGCGAACTGTTGTGATTTTATTATTTGTTAATAATTGTTTATTGAGTTCTAGATATTTATTCAGTTCTGAGTAATCTTCGAAAATCATATAGCTACAGTATTGTTACTTTGTTATTGGCTGAGGCCAAATATCTACTTGTAAATATTTAATCATAGCTTCGGACCTCAGGAATTATGTTAAAACAAATAATCCTCGAAATTCAGTCAGTCAGTCAGTAACAACATTGACCTTCGTATGTACGTACATCAGCTTGAGTTGCCACACCACATTAGAACAGAGATGTAGTTGTCGATTCAAATCCCGTAGTGGCAGAGGTAGTAAAAGTATAAGCTGTAATCGATCCAATCTCCTGGATTGAGAATTTACAATATGTCCATTCTTTTTCTGAGATATTTTCGCTAATAGTCGGGTTCCTAATACCGGTTTCCTTAACAAGCCTGAACAGTTGTCTGCTGTTACCTGTTTCGGCTGCCTTTTTCCATCTCTCTTGCTTTCGCTACCCACCACTGTTCACGATCATTGTGTAGGCTTCTTATGAGCATGCGCTTTAGCTGACCCCGCTCTTCGTTATGTTCCAAGCCAGTTGGAATGAGTTTTCGAGCATCTATCAGTGCGGTAGATGCTGCTGTGATCCAGTGTTTCTTCCTAACCTTATAGTTTATCCCACTTACAGACATCACTACTAAGGGGTTTCCTCGCGTCATCTTTCCTACGTCCAGTAAGGCGCAGACAAATACGCGCTCGCACTAGAGCATGATCTAAGTCTAAGCATGTGCTCCAGAATGAGCGACAGTCTTCTATCGAACCCCTCCATCGGTGGCTGATAGCGATGTGATCTATTTGGGTCCAACGTTGGGCCTTCTGACTTTTTTCCATAAACGACAGAACATATTTTTTTTCCAGGCGGTAACATTCAGAAGAAGACAACTTTGATTTAATAAAAATAGGTTTGTCCAGTTAGCTACTGTATTTTCATGAATTAAGTGGTGACATACATCCTAAAAGTAAAGAGCATCATGTGAAGTGCCATTACTTATAAAGTAGAGATGGCTCAAACTCAGACCTCTAGTTCCTTGAAAATGGAAATGACATCTAGACTAAAAAACTAATGAGACTGAGAGTGTTCTATCGTTTGAATGTAGAGCGATTATTTTATCCTTTCTCGAACAAGGTGATAATTAATTCGTGTGGAGAGGCCAAGTTTCACGAGCGTAGAGCAAAACTATTCTCACCGACGCGTTGTAGATCCAACCTTTTACAGCCAGACTAAAATCACGAAGGCGGAAAAGATGGCCCAGACTAGCCTAAGTCGCTCTGACTCTCACTATACGTGAATTGATCTCATCACTCACACCACCACCAGCTCTCACATAAATAACCGAACTTCTCAACTACTTCTATCTGCTCACTACCAAGAGTGAGTGGAGGTTCAGGTTCCTGCCAGTTTTGTAAAAGTACTCTGCACTTAGAAGGTAAGAAACATATGCCATACCTGCGGACACTGCTTTCCAACTGATTACATGCATTTTGCATCGCTTGGGTGTCGCTGCACTGTAAGAAAATATCATTCGCATACTCAAGGTCGAAAAGTCTTTCTCCTGGCAACAGATCCGCACCACCATTACCTACATCCATCAAAGCTATCTCCAGAACGTCATTAATGACAAAGTTGAAAAGGAATGGAGAGATTGGGTAACCCTGTCTAACCTCACTGCTTGAATGAAACAGTGGGGAGAGGTGGTTGTATGCCCTCACTCTGTCCGAGGTGTTTGTATATAGGGCTTTTAAGATGTTAATAAACTTCTCAGGCACACACTTCTCCAATTGACAGTCCCAGAGGACAGTCCTGTCCAACCAATCCAAGGAGGCCCTAATGTCAAGAAACATCACAATTGCTGACTTGTAATTAGTATGACGGTGTTTTAACACTTGCCGGACGGTGAAGATATGATCCATACATCCTCGATCAGAACAAAAACCAGCCTACTCCCCACTAGTCAATCTTCCTCGGGTTTGACCAGTCTACGGAGTATGACGGAAGCCAATACTTTGGATACGATCGTAGGTATACTTATTCCCCGTTGTTTGTTGCATAGGCGACGTGAACCTTTTTTAAGATAGGGGAAACTATCGACTCATTCTGCTATGTTGGAACATTGCCTAATTACCAGACATTTGTAAACAACTCAGTTCCTTCACCAGAAGGTCGCCAGCATCTTTAAAAAGGGCCGGAGGTAAGTCATCTGAACGTGGTGACTCGTGATGTTCCAGGGGTTGGAGTTCCTTGCGAACTTCCGTGTGGTTAGGTGGACCATTCGTCACCGGCCATGGGGCGCGGAACAGTCTGGTTGATGTCGTCGGGGCGACAGACCGGTTAAACTGTCCCTCAAAAAACCACTTGATATCAATTAAATGGCTTATATCACTTAACTGTTTATTTATACACAGGTTAGTGAGTTGTCAATAAGCTTTCGTAAGTATATGTGTTTTACTAAGCTATAAACTAATACAAACCGACAGAGACGTATACCTGCAATTACTCTGTGATGTTCTGAAATAAGTCAAGAGGAGGGTATACAAGTAGCTATCTAAGTACTGCTGGTGTGTTAAATGAGATTGATCTATATTCGATGAAAGTCCCTAGGAAGAAAATATGTATTGGATAAACTTACATTGTTTCATCACTTTTGGGGTAGAGTCATAAAATAACTTAAAGTAGAAAGTACAGGTAGTCTTGATGCTAATGAAGCACCTACATTAATTGGATTCTTATTTGGATTGTATTTTCAATGTCTGTTCTTGTCCTTGTATGCACTACGATTATCTCAGATATTTCTACGTAATATATTGGCGAATTTCCTGGTTCTGTGTTTTACTAAACTTCTTTTTAGTATCCAATTATAAGATGGAAATGATAACCATTTTTTATTACCAGCCTTAAAATTCTTTGTTGCTTTCGATAAATCAGCGGCTGAAAGATCGATATTAGCGCCAATGAGACGCTATAACCATATGTCTATCATTAGCTTACGACGACTTTACGTACTAGTTTTTAAGCGTCTATTATTATTCTTGTCACTCAAACTTTGTTTATTTATTCAGGGATTTAGCAGTTGAAAATCCACCAACAGGATTTTCATTTTTCCCCGAGCACATATTCGGTGAGAATGGCTACTTAAACTTGTTGCAATATATACTTTCCAATGGCGTTGAACGGAGAGATCGTACCGACACAGGGACGTTTGGAGTTTTCGGTCCACAGCTACGATTTTCTCTTAGAAATCAAGAATATCCTCTACTGACTACAAAAACAGTATGTTTGTGAATGCTTTGGATATTTGAATTTTATTCGTGCTTATCTGTCATATCAAATGGTTTTTCTGCTTGGTATTTTGCAAAACGAATAATTCATGCTTTTCTATATGTTAGGTTTAAATGAGAGCTGAGGCACTATGGTTTAGAAAATATATCTCAAGATATGCAATCAAAAGTACTCATCAGTTTCTTTAAATTAATTGTTGTTAAAGCCCTTCCGGTATACATTACTTTTTCTAGAAGTTTTTTAGAAGTCTAAAAGATATTCACTAACAAGTAAAATATCTCAAAAGCAAAACTAATGGAACATTCATATTTTTGTGTATTTTCACCCTTAGATTCGGAAGTTGTCTCATAATTAAGCTGTTCCGGTTTGATTTCTATTCACTTTTCTCTTATCTTTTTACTATCCGAAGATGCTTTTTAGACTTGGTGGTCATATCATGTCTTTAACAGTTATGCCACTGTTATTAACTTCCAGTGGATAGATATACACTATTGCAGCCTTCCTTTTACTTTTTTAAAATTAATTTTGACACGGTATTTTTACTGTTGATTGCCATTTTGTTTATACTACAGAAATGTATCTCAGTGACTGCAGCATCAAACCGATTTTACCGTTTTTCCTCGTTTTTTAAATAGTCAGAAAAAAAGTTTCCTTAATCTTGTATATCATAAACTCGTTTATCCAAGTATTCTTCATCATTTTTTTAAAATGCGGCTAAAGTTCGTAACTCAGACTTCAAGCTAGGCCTGTATGAAAATTAGAAATAATAAACAACTGCCGGAACCTGAAAATATGACATGTTAAAGATTATGACCCCTAATTGCTTTCCAAATGACCTCACGAAACAAAATATTCCCTATGATTATGCTGTCAGATTGAAATCGTTAGTAATAAACAGTTAACTAGTATTACCAGGTACAAATCGGTATACTTGGCTTCGAGCCACACTAATTGTAAGGGTTAGTGATACTATCCAGTTATCCAGACTAAAGTAGGTGGATTGGGTCTCGAACCTGGGATCTAGTGACAAAGTAAAATCTTTTAACCACTAAAGTACCACTCATCACATTTATGTAAACGACTATAAGATTATGATCTCTAAAGTTTCGTTAATAAGCATTGTAGTAGGATTTTGTTGGTGGTTGTAGTTTAGTGTGAGTACAGTTCATTCTAAACTTAGATTTCAAATTCATGGAATGCTGAAATGTTCAACCGCATTCGTGTTTATTTTTATTGGGTAATTGGTTGAATGGTGATCTGATTATGTGCGATAATCCATTGTGACTGAGTGATAACTGTTCACAAGCCCGATTTATAGGCGTATAGCTTCTAAATGAATTTATACCACTAGACCGAGCATATATATATATATCATATCATATGCACCTAAGCTAGGTTTCTTTACCAATAGTTTAAGCTTCTAAAATATGATTTAGTAGGTGTTTTTTCGCGGAATCGTAGAAGAACTATTATGGTTTGTTCGTGGATCTACAAATTCTCGTGAACTGGCGGAAAAGAATGTACATTTCTGGGATGCAAATGGATCTCGTGAATTTTTAGATGGACTAGGATTTACTGAGCGTGAAGAAGGTGAGGTCATTAAAATAGTTTGTAATAATTTATGAATCAGTTTGTTTTCTTGACATAAGTGATATTTGCTGTTATTTGACCTTTCATTCACTCTAAGACTAATGACTAATCATAAGGATAATTTTCACACATGATTACTGTCTTCAATAAATTTTATTCACTTATTTCTGTTCATACAACACTTAGTCATCAATAAAGTTACTATAAATAGGGAACTAGTACTGCATAAGTCAGCTAAATTTGAAGTTATATATAATTAAAAGCGATGACATAAGGTTAATCTAATTTATAGGGCGAAATTATTTTCTTACTGTAGGTCATGGGAATATATCAAATTACCACTAATGTTATGGGATGGTTTCCAGTTTCTAATACAAGTTGATGTCGGTTAAATTATTATTGCTTATTTACTACTAGTAGTAAGTAGTTCATCGTGAAGAACGTGATAAAGTTTTGTTGTAAGCATATTTTTGATCCTTTCGGTTTCATATTCAGTTATTGGGAAATAACACTACTCGTGTAGGATTAATCACAGTGGGCCTATATTCTTTGTAGCAAACTAGGGTATGCAGTAAGTCCTCTTTATCTTTAGTCAAAGTTGCTACTTGTTAAATAAGAATATTTTTGTTAGTTCTCTCGTCAAGGCGTTAGCTTTTCATAATGAAGTAATCTGGTGCATTTTTATTGGTTGAGTTTTATTCCTCAGAATTCGCTTTTCATACAATGAGTTGTATCATTAGCGTTAAAATTTGAAGCGTGGCAGGATGATTTCAAGTAATTTCTACTGGTTTAGTTACGTTATCGTTGCTACTCGTGTTTTCATATTTTTACTCAAAATATTGAAGGTGATCTCGGTCCAGTTTATGGTTTCCAGTGGCGTCACAGTGGAGCAGAATACGTAGACTGTCAAACCGACTATACTGGTCAAGGTGTTGATCAACTTGCTGATGTAATAAAACTTATACGTGAGCGCCCTTGGGATAGAAGGATTATGATTGTGGCTTGGAATGTTAAAGGTGAGGAAATCTATTTTTAAACAGATCAAACGTTTTCCAAAATATTTTGGGGTATTCATTTCTTGAAATTGCTAAATCTATGTTCACTTTTTATATCATGTTGTGTAGTACTAAGGACTACTTACTCAAACATTTATTTTCACTACGTCATTCGTAATTTTAAAATTTACCAATTCATTCATTACTTATGTAGAAAAAATCTAACAGCCAGTACAAGTAATTAGTTCAATCGAGGATCGAGTACTTGTCTTTGGGTTACTTTCTCGTGTCATGGATATGGCAATTCTTCCCATTTGCTCAAACTAAATTAGGTGGCATGGTGTTCCAATCTAAAACTCAGTGTTCAGAAATGCTTTATCGCTTTGCCCCAGTTCGGCAAAAATATTCATTACAAGTTAGCTGTTTCCTCTTAACGGTGGATTCTCACGACCTCTCACAAAATGCAACCCAGGACCTTCGAGTTCGCCGGTAAATACGGTACCACATGGCTATAAAGTTTAGGACGAATCTTATAGAAAGCTATCCAGCCTCCAAAAAGCTAAACGGTCTGATGCAATAATAATGGCGTGTGATTTTAATGCTCAAACAGGTAAACTAAACCAAACCGAAAGGGATGTAGGTGGATCTTATGGTGTTGCGGCTCATTGAACAAATAATGCTGACCGTCTGCTTCAACTACACTCAGATAATCGTCCATTTCTAAGAAATATCAACGTTAAAAATAAAGAGAAATATCGTCTGACGTGGTGATCACAAGCGGCTCATCGATGGACTCAAATAGATCATAGCCATCGTTGGAGGGGCTATATAAAGGACTGTCGTTCATTATGGAGCATATGTTTGAACTCGGATCATGCTCTTGTTCGAGCATCTTACGGGATGTAGGAAAGCCACAGGAAGAAAACCCCTTAAAATTCAACTCAATGACGAAAAAGTCAAAAATATATTTCAGGAACAGTTAAAGCAGGAGTTAGTCAACCATGAAAAATATATCCTCCCCGAGGTAGCTTGGTGTGATGTTCAAAGTTCTGTCAAAAAAGCAGTAATATTTACTAGTAACTTAAACCCAAAGGTTAATAAACAGCGGTGGATTTCGATGGTATCCTTAAAACTGACATCCCGCCTGGTTCCAAGCACGATGAGTATCAGAGGCAGCTTGAGCGTAGGCCGACGAAACGCCTACATATTGGTCGTGAGGAGTGATAAGTAATGAAGGCAAAAGGGATAAAAAAGGTCGTATCAAAAGTTAACAGTAGACAATTGTTCGAACTTATCAAGAAAACGGATGTTAAAAATCCGACTGTCAGTTAAAATATTCCGGAAGAAGACGGAATTATTCACTCTCAATGTAGAAGATAGGGATTCCGCCACACTTTATTTACCCACTCTCCAAGCAACCTAAATGACAAACTGACATAAATACTCCAACTTATTTAGGTTGGAAAGGATATAAGCAATCTAGAGCGATGGAGAGCAACTGGACCTGGTGGACTAACCTCTAAAAATTTTAATTAGTTAAATTAAGTGAGATCTTAACCGAAATCTGGTAACCGGACTTAATCCCATCTGACTGGTCTCAATCGCTAATCGTCCCAGTTTATAAAAAGGGGCAAAATCATCTTGTGACAACTATAGAGGAATCAGTTTAACTAATATAGTGTCTAAAATGTTAGCCTCAATAATACTTCGAAGTCTAACTAGAGCTCATGAAGGAAATACCAGGCTTGTTTCAGACCCAAACGTGAATGTATAGACTAAATATTCACCCTTCAGCGTGCTCTAGAACATAGACATACTTTTCGACATCCGACTATAGGTGTAGCCCCCGAATGCCCTGGTACGGCCGAGAGTGGGGTGAGTCCGCTCTCCCTCTCGAAATACTCTCACACGGCCGCGCGTATACAGCCTCTGCCAGGGAAGTCCTACTCATTGCCTTCTCGTGGCGGGGGTGTTGTTTACGAAAATATTGGTACAGAAGAGCGCCAATATGTATGCGCCACACAAAACAATGAGAATTCGAAGAGAAATAAAAAAAAATAAGAAAAAACTAAGGAGCGCAAAAAGAAAAAGAGAACAATAACGAAGAGATTGGTGTAAGGTAGTGTGGTAGTAACGAGGGAACGAAAAGGTACAATCAGAAGAAATCTTTCAGGTAAGGGAGACACAACCACTTTTTATGAAGAAAGTAAAAGAAGGTTGCGGCAGGATCGCCACTGGCTTCTATTCTGAGCCATATCTGATAACGTCTCTAGCCACTGTGTAGCACCATCTCTCGGACCCCAACCAGGGAGTCGTGAAGGACCAACACAAGCCAGTCCTTTGCAGCTTTCTTTCATACCACGACACCATGTCATGCACTGACCACCTCTCCGCTTCTTCCAACCAGTCCCAGAGTCGGCAAATAATGCACGACGTGGAATTCTCTGGGACGACATTCGTAGAACATGTCCAAGCCAACGAAGTCGGTGTTTCAAGATGGTGACACCAATTGAATTATCATCTCTGTGCCCGAACACACAATGCCGAATCTCTGCATTACTGACATGGTGTTGCCACGGAATGTCAGCAATCCTTCGGAGACAGCGATGATCGAACACAGATAGTCGTCTAACATCCTCAACTCGGAGAGGCCAGGTTTCACAAGCATAGAGCAAAACTGCTCTCACCGACGCGTTGTAGATCCGACTTTTTACAGCCAGACTAACATCACGAAGGCGCCAAAGGTGGCCCAGATTGGCATAAGCCGCTCTGGTTTTCACTATACGTGCATTGATCTCATCACTCGCACCCCTACCAGCACTTATGCAGCTACCCAGATACACGAACTTCTCTACTATTTCTATCTGCTCACCATCCAGGGTGAGTACAGGATTAGAATCCTGCCAGTCTTGTAGAAGTACTTTGCATTTCGAAGGTGCAAGGCACATACCGTACCTACGGACATTGATTGCCGACTAATTAAGTGCGGATTGCATGCCTTGGGCATTATCGTACAGTAGGACAATGTCATCCGCATACTCAAGGTCGAGAAGTCCTTCTCCAGGCAACAGATCCACACCGCCATTACTTGCATCCATCAGAGCTGTTTCCAGAATGTCATCGATGGCAAAGTTGAAGAGGAATGGTGAGATTGGGCAACCCTGCCTAACCGCACTGCTCGAATGGAACAATGAAGAGAGGTGGTTGTATGCCCTCACTCTGCCTGAGGTGTTTGTGTATAGGGCTTTTAGGATGTTAATAGACTTCTCAGGCACACCCTTCTTCAATAGACAATCCCAGAGAACAGTCCTGTCCAACGAATCGAAGGCAGTCCTGATGTCAAGAAACACTACGATTGTTGGCCTTTGGTAAGTATGGCGGTGTTCTAACATTTGGCAGAGGGTGAAGATATGATCAATACATCCTCGATCAGAACGAAACCAGCCTGCTCCCCGCGAGTCAATCTTTATCGGGTTTTGAACAACCTACGAAGTATGACCGAAGCCAATAGCTTGGACGCAATCGGAAGTAGACTTATCCCCCCATAGTTGTTACAGGAACGACGTGAACCCTTTTTAAAGATAGGGACAACTATCGACTCATTCCGTGACGTTGGTACACTCTCTAGTTCCCAAACCTTTGTAAACAACGTCGTCAATTCCTTAGTCAAAAAGTCACCACCATCTTTAAAAAGGGCCGGAGGTAAGTCATCTGGGCCAGGTGATTTGTATCGCCTCAAGAGTTGGAGTTCCTTGCGGACTTCCGCCTCATTTGGTGGATCAGTCGTCACCTGCCATGGAGGGCAGGACAGTCTGACCGATGTTGCCGGAGCAGCAGGCCAGTTGAACTGCCCTTCGAAAAATTCTGCCCATCGTCCAAGACGTCGATGGATGTTAGTGATTGGCATCCCATCATCCTCGCATATTGTTTCACTCACACCAGACTTCTTGCTGCCAATGGCTCGGATGAGTTGGAAGAGCTTCCGGTAATTACCAGATACAGCTGCTGCTTCCAGCTCATTAGCACGCTCCGACCACCAGGCTTCTTGGTCCTTACGCAAGCTTTGCCCAATTTCGCTACGTAACATCCTTCGTTTATGGTCAAACTCACGGTCACCTGGAGTAGACCGACGGGCTTCAATGAGTTGTAAGGAACCTGGAGAAACCCAATGCTTAAAAGCGGGACGTTTCGCAGACCCACAACTGACTGTACCCGCCATTTTCATGGCGTCATGCATTTGCAACCAATGCTCATTAATACTTTTCGGTGGAGTGGTAGCTCGGTTCGATACTTATTTGCAACAGAAGTTGCAACCAGCTTGCTAATATCAATCCTTTGCTGGCGGTCACTTCGTTGTCCACTGAAAAGTAAGGCAAGATTGGCGCAGACCAGGGTATGGTCAGAGTCCAGATAGGTACTCCGAAAGGAGCGGCAGTCTTTTACACAACCACGCCAGCGGTAGCTGATGGCGATGTGATCAATCTGAGTCCAGGCTTGAGATGCAGAGGAAGGACGCCAGGTGGCACATCGGCGATGACTGTGCCGTAAGTTAGTGCTAGCCAGAAACAGGTTGTGGTCTGTGCATAGTTGCAGTAGACGGTCCTCGTTATCTGTCATGCGACCAACGAGTCCCCATCGGCCACCTAAACAACTCTCTTCTGTGCCTAGACACCGGACCTGAGCATTCAAGTCTCCGGCGAGTACTACAATATCTGTCGAACGCACTTTCTGGAGAAGAACGGATAACTGGTGGAAAAACCCATCCTTGATTGCATTCGGGTTACAATCTGTCGGGGCATAGGCGGAGATGACGAAAAGACATAGTTTCCCACGCCGATTTCTTCTCACTTTGATGGAACTTTCTAATCTAACAGCACATAACCGACTGTTAATGGGGATCCAATCGACTAGTGCTGCCTCAGCTCTAGCGCTTAGTGCGACACCAACGCCAGCAAGACCAGATGAAGATGCCACAGAGTCCCCGGATAAGCGCACGTAAAACAAGGTTTCGAAGCGACAGATGGAGATCGAATTTGTAGTACTTCGCCAGAGTCTTGAATACGGGTCTCGGATAGACAACAAACATCAATATTAAGACTTTCCAAAGACATAGCCAGCCCTTTCTGTTGTCCGACCTGCATAAATGTGCGAACGTTGAAGGCAGCCAATTTGAATGATGCACGTGGTTTCAGAAAAACTGCTTCAGTTCTCGTATTCGGTGGTAACATACAATTTTCAACCGGACAGTGACTCGAGAACGTTTAGATACACTCGAATTTCCACCAAAGACGAGGCGCTGTATGAGTATAAAAGAGGGTGAATAATGTGGGAAATAGTGATAATAATAATAATAATAATGACAATAATAGTAATAATAATAATAGTATTAATAATGACAATAATTGTAATGATAATAATTTGAATCATTTGATTGTTATTCGAAGTGAGAAAAGTAATTTCCATAGACATAAAGAGTTCATCATTTGTGTGTGGGCTGTGATACTGCCCGGGTGCCCAAACCGAAGCAGGTGGTTATCTTAGGGGGCCAAACCCCGAGCCTTTGACCTAAAGGTCTAATCCACAAGGCAGTGGAGCATCGTAAGGAGATGCAATCCTATGGTAGCCGGTGACCAACGATTGGTTCATACGCCATTTGTTCCCGCAGGATACTGGAGCCCATGTGCACCATTGGTTTGTGATCCGGTTAAAGCGCCGGACATTCGCTTTTCGTCCTCTCATTTTCGTTAACAACACCCCCGCCACGAGAAGGCAATGAGTAGGACTTCCCTGGCAGAGGCTGTATACGCGTGGCCGTGTGAGAGTATTTCGAGAGGGAGAGCGGACTCTCCACACTCTCGGCCGTACCAGGGCATTCGGGGGCTGTCTACCTTGTACAGCCTCCTTACTCGAACACTACTGGTCAAGTCAGCTTATGCAAACTGTCGTCAGAATTGGTTACTTCAAGATGTTCGTCAAGGTTGTCTGTTCTACCCATTTTTATTTAACTTTGTCATGGACATGCTTTTAGGGATAACGATCTCACCGTCCGACTTTTCAAGGGTTGATCTTCCGTCAGGAAAATTATTTGTTGACTTACGATACGCAGACGATGTAGTTCTGTTTGGTGAAATGCTGACAAAGTGCAGAGCCTTCTGACCACCTTAAGCAACAATGCAAGCATGTTTAGGATGCGGTTCTCTCCCTCCAAATGCAAAATGTTGCTTCAGGATCGGCTTGCGTCAACGCCTGAATTAATAATAGGTAGTGAGATAGTTGGATGCATCAACCGCCTTACTAATCTTGGGACTCTCATCAGTACTGATGGTCTGATGTGTGACGAAATCTCGGTACGGATTCAGAAGGCTTGGTTGGCTTTTGCCAACTCGTGTCACTTGCAGCATGGGTGAGATATCTGTCTTCCAACCAAAGGAAGAGTTTACTGCTCAGGACTTCACCCCGTCCTACATTTTGAGTGGGAAACATAGCCATTAAGAATAGATATTGGTAGTTTACTGGTATTCGGTCATAGGTGTCTTTGATGAAGATATTGATAATTGTACTGATCCATGTTAATAGGTGCAGATTACCTGGTTGAGGTTCGTGTGATTATCGCAACCAATGGTTAGAGACTTTGAATGACTAGAAGTTGGCGACTTTATAGGCCGATGCCACCTTTTGGTTTGGCCGCCTCTAACTTTCTTCCATCCATCTCCAACACTAGTCCGCACTGTGCGTCGTGGTAAACGGTGTTCAGGCATACGTAACACGTGGCCCAACCATCTTAGCTGATGAAGATTTACAACCTTATCGACTGATTTACCATCATTCCCTAATACCCTGCGTCTAACCTCACTATTAATTTCCCGGTGATCCCAGCAGATGCGAGCAATATTTCTAAGACATCTGTGGTCAAATACTAGTAAGTTACGAGTATCTTCTACCCTTAACGGCCACGTTTCGCAGCCGTAAATCAGAACCGAACGAACTGCCGCGTAGCATACTCGTTTCCTAATGGATAGACGGATATCTCGCCTTCGCCATAGGTGAAGTATGTTGGCAATAGCGAAACGAGAATTTTGAATCCGTGCAGTGATGTTGTCAAACACCAATCCATTAAAGCCGATCAGATTTCCTAGGTAAATGAAGTTGTCGATGCGTTCGACTACTTCATTCCCTATCCTTAGTTCATGTGTTGACGCAGGCCGGTCATGAAGCAACAACTTGCATTTAGAGGGGGAGAAATGCTTCTTGAACACCCTGGCATTGTTGCTCAGTGCTACAAAAAGACTGCATTTTATCAGCGTCTTCACCAAACAGGACTATGTCATCTGCGTATTCTAAGTCGATAAGTGGACCTCCTTGTAGGAGATCAGTGCCTGAAAATTCAGCCTATAAACAAATCCCTAGAATATCGTAGTTTCTTAGTCGCATACCAATAAGATAAACCACAGGTATTACATAACATTTTTTTCTACGTTAGTGCTTCAGTTGGACTTGGAGAACTTCTAGTCCCCTATTTTTTAGATTATTACTTAAATGACAGTTATTAAAGGTACATAATGAGAATGACGAATATGCAGAAGATTGTTAGCAGTCAAAATGCTTTATTTTGAATTGGTTTGATATTTCCTTCTCACTTATTCTAAAGAGCCATAATTTCTTAATTCGAGCGTGGCGATTCGATCACTTATACGCGTAAACTTTTTGTAACTGTTTGACTTTAAGAATTTTAAATTCCCATCAACTTTTTTTTGCTTAGAACATCAATTCTGGAATCAATATTATTCAAATAAAATAAATAAATATCTTTGAAATTTTCAAACGGCCACCATATTGTTCATCACATATCGTTATTGTATTGAACATTTATAAGCCTGCATTGTTTCTTTTGATGCCGTATTTTAAGTGTATTATTGTATAATTATTATTGAATGATATTACTTGGGTTTTTCAACTAAAAACGTTTGTGTAAGCGATATAATTGTTGCAATGATTGCTCATCGGCTAATTGTAAAAAAGATTTCACGGTGTTTCATCAATATAATGGTGATTTTGAATATGTTTCTTAGAGGGGATAGTAAAGAGTTCAACTTCGTCCCAAAATTTCATTGGTATTTCATTGTCATTACTAGTAGTCTTATTAAATCATTTAATTTATCATTATATGTGAAAATTATATTTAAAATAATCTCAGTGATTGGAATTTAAATAATTCCAAACCTGTCTGGACGAAAAGTTGGAATTATTTAAATTTCAATTGCTGAGATTGTTTCAAATATAATTTTCACATATAATGACTTGTCTATACTCGGTGCCCAATTTTTGTCAAACTATTCGTTCTAATATTGACGAATATTTGTACAAATCATTTAATCTATCGTTTGTAACAGTTTATTCATCATCATGACTGTCATTTACAGGTTTGATTATAATTTTGTGGTCACCGTGTTATTTGATAAACGTTTGATCTGATTTGCTTATTTAGATCTACGTAAAATGGTTCTTCCTCCCTGTCATTGTCTTGTTCAGTTTTATGTTGCAAATGATGAGTTAAGTTGTCAATTATATCAACGTTCGGGGGATATGGTAAGTATTTTTGGTGTTCCATGAGATAACTGTTTTTTTTATTCTTTAAAACCTTTGTTAGCTGTAAAAGTAGTTAACAGGATTTGATAATTGCTTATTAAGTTTATAACTACCAAATTTGCTAACACTATGAACTCTAACTTCATGGACACGTTAAGCGTATCTCACCAAGGTGAATAGCTTACTAGCATTGATAGGTATTAGCTTCGTAAGAGGATTAAACCCTGTCACTTATTGGCCTCAGAGTTTTTAGGTTTTATTGGTTTGCCTCGGAGAAAAATTGATTTTATACGAATATTCGTCAAGATTAGAACGAATAGTTTGACAGTAATTGAGCGCCGAGTATAGAGAAGTCATTATATGTGAAAATTATATTTGAAATAATTTATACGAATATTCGTCAAGATTAGAACGAATAGTTTGACAGTAATTGAGCGCCGAGTATAGAGAAGTCATTATATGTGAAAATTATATTTGAAATATTCTCAGCGATTGAAATATAACTAATTCCAACGTTTCGTCCAGCTAACTTGTCTGGACTTCTTCAGGGTAATAATCAAAATCAAAATTATCAAAGAAATATATAGCTTTTTAACAATCAGGATTATATTGTGTTAAACCAATCGTATTTGGATGTTGATTTTGTAAAATAGGATAAAATGAGTCAGTTAACTACAAATCGTGTGAAGAATTCAACTACATGGAAATACTTAACTGAGTAACAAATCGTATGTGTGTGTAGGTATGTATGTATGTGTGAGAGATTGATATGAAGGAATAAATAAAGTTCAAGTTCAAGGATGAAAAATTGATAATGAAACATCGATGTACATGTCAAAACGTAAATTGTATTGTTTAAAAAACTCATTGAATTCTTTCAAAATAATAACGATGCATGTGATATTAAAAAACAGGTTTAAACAAGAGATAGGTTCCAAATTTACTTGTCAAACGAAATTTGCCAAGTAGTTGCCAGTTGAATACCATCTTTTCGGTTCAGGCTGTTCTTGTTCGCCCATATATGCAGAGCTTCTGCTGTCAATCTTTCTTTATGGGTGTTAAAACCTTTTTGAGGTATTTTGGTCCCTTCAAAATTAATCTTGTGTCCTGTTTCTAACGCATGTAACGCTATCGCTGACTTATTTTCAAGTTTCTTTAAATCGACCGAGGATTTTGGAACATTTTTCAAGCATTGTTTGTGTTCCTTCAATCTTACATTCAATTGCCTGGATGTTTCTCCAACATAGGTAGCATTACAGTCATAACAGTGAATCTCATACACAATGTTCTGTTGTTCTTCCTTTGCTAATTTGTCCTTAACTTTCACTAATGTCGATCTTAATGTGTTATTCGCTCTAAAATACACTCTTATATCATGTTTGTTTAGAATCCGTTTGATTTCTTCTGATGTTTCACTACGGTAAGGTATGACTACGGTGTACTTCCATTCTTTTCGTATACTTTCTAGTTTAGTTTTTCTTTCATTTTTGATAATCTTCTTTAAAAACCTTTCTGGGTAGTTGTTATCCCTAAGAGTAGAAAATACTTTATTTAATTCGGTTCGTTGGTCTTCCTTGTCTGTAACAATCTTAGTACTTCTGTTCATTAGATTTTTTCCACATTAATTTTCGTGCTCTGTGAGTGGGCTGAATTAAAATCCAAGTATCTCTCGGAATGTGTTGATTTTCTGTAAACATTTATTTTTAACTTCTTATTATTGTGTCGACGTTCAACCAAACAATCTAGAAATGCTAGTTTGTGGTCAACTGATTCTAATTCCTTAGTTAGTCTAATGTCTTCAGAAATGCTGTTTGCATTGTTAAATAGTTCTTCCATACCATCCCGTTTATTGATAATAAAAATACCGTCTACATACCTTAACCATAACTTTGGTGGACATAAACGTTTTGCGATTGCACTAGTTTCTAAGGAATGCATGAATAAATTCGCTACAATCGGAGAAACTGGTGACCCCATTGCTATACCCTCTTTCTGTCTGTAAAGTTGACCTCGAAATATGAATAAGGTAGATCTTAAACATAATTCTAAGCATTTTATAACCTCTGATGGATCTAATGGGCATCGTAAATTCAAATCTAAATCAGATTCTAAACAATCATTGATAATATCCATAGCTCGACTGATAGGTACATTAGTGAATAAGGAAGATACATCAAAACTTGCCATTATTTCGTCTTCTTCTATATCGATGGTATCAATTAAATTCTTGAATTCCATAGAGTTTTTAATTCCATGATTAATCCGTTTTTCATATGGTTTGAGAATCTTAGCTAAATATTTAGCTAGATTGTAAGTCGGTGAATTTGTATAGTCTACCACTGGTCTTAGTGGAGTATTGTTCTTGTGGATTTTTGGTAGTCCATAAAATCTGCATGGGTTACAACTCTTTGGATATAACATAAACCATAAGGACGATCCTAGCTTGTAAGAGTTTGCTAGTTTCTGCCTTGAGTTTGTTAAGAGTTGTTCTACTTTTTGCTTCTTTGATTTGTTAATATGGACCCTCTTGTAGATGTTCCTTGGCTTTTTTCTCATACTCTGTTTTATTCATAATAACTGTAGTATTACCTTTATCTGCTCTCGTTATTATGATCGTTTTGTCCTCTCTCAGCTGTTTTAATGCGTAATATTCATTTTTATTTATGTTAGGGTTGTGAGGTTTCTGATGTAATAATGTGCTCATTATTTTATTCCTCAGTTCATTCGCTGTATCATTCGGGAGTATATTCAGCGCTGGTTCTACTGTTGGTATAACATTGAAAGGTGTTAATTTATGCCTATTAATATTGAAGTTGAGACCCTTTTTAAGTAATGATATTTCATGTGGGTTGAGAGGTCTATCCGATAAATTAACAATTATTTTATTCATATCATGTGTGTTAGACCTATTTTCCGTCTGTTCAAGGGTTTGCAATATCGATGACATATTGTCAGTTATCGCACCGAACGAAATAAGATCAGATATAATTAATTTTTTCAAACATAGAGAACAATTTTATTATCAATCATCAAAACAACGACAAATAAGGAAGTTTGAAAAACTATTGAAACATTTTACAAACACCAAAGTTCAACAGACGGAAAATAGGTCTAACACACATGATATGAATAAAATAATTGTTAATTTATCGGATAGACCTCTCAACCCACATGAAATATCATTACTTAAAAAGGGTCTCAACTTCAATATTAATAGGCATAAATTAACACCTTTCAATGTTATACCAACAGTAGAACCAGCGCTGAATGATACAGCGAATGAACTGAGGAATAAAATAATGAGCACATTATTACATCAGAAACCTCACAACCCTAACATAAATAAAAATGAATATTACGCATTAAAACAGCTGAGAGAGGACAAAACGATCATAATAACGAGAGCAGATAAAGGTAATACTACAGTTATTATGAATAAAACAGAGTATGAGAAAAAAGCCAAGGAACATCTACAAGAGGGTCCATATTAACAAATCAAAGAAGCAAAAAGTAGAACAACTCTTAACAAACTCAAGGCAGAAACTAGCAAACTCTTACAAGCTAGGATCGTCCTTATGGTTTATGTTATATCCAAAGAGTTGTAACCCATGCAGATTTTATGGACTACCAAAAATCCACAAGAACAATACTCCACTAAGACCAGTGGTAGACTATACAAATTCACCGACTTACAATCTAGCTAAATATTTAGCTAAGATTCTCAAACCATATGAAAAACGGATTAATCATGGAATTAAAAACTCTATGGAATTCAAGAATTTAATTGATACCATCGATATAGAAGAAGACGAAATAATGGCAAGTTTTGATGTATCTTCCTTATTCACTAATGTACCTATCAGTCGAGCTATGGATATTATCAATGATTGTTTAGAATCTGATTTAGATTTGAATTTACGATGCCCATTAGATCCATCAGAGGTTATAAAATGCTTAGAATTATGTTTAAGATCTACCTTATTCATATTTCGAGGTCAACTTTACAGACAGAAAGAGGGTATAGCAATGGGGTCACCAGTTTCTCCGATTGTAGCGAATTTATTCATGCATTCCTTAGAAACTAGTGCAATCGCAAAACGTTTATGTCCACCAAAGTTATGGTTAAGGTATGTAGACGGTATTTTTATTATCAATAAACGGGATGGTATGGAAGAACTATTTAACAATGCAAACAGCATTTCTGAAGACATTAGACTAACTAAGGAATTAGAATCAGTTGACCACAAACTAGCATTTCTAGATTGTTTGGTTGAACGTCGACACAATAATAAGAAGTTAAAAATAAATGTTTACAGAAAATCAACACATTCCGAGAGATACTTGGATTTTAATTCAGCCCACTCACAGAGCACGAAAATTAATGTGGAAAAAATCTAATGAACAGAAGTACTAAGATTGTTACAGACAAGGAAGACCAACGAACCGAATTAAATAAAGTATTTTCTACTCTTAGGGATAACAACTACCCAGAAAGGTTTTTAAAGAAGATTATCAAAAATGAAAGAAAAACTAAACTAGAAAGTATACGAAAAGAATGGAAGTACACCGTAGTCATACCTTACCGTAGTGAAACATCAGAAGAAATCAAACGGATTCTAAACAAACATGATATAAGAGTGTATTTTAGAGCGAATAACACATTAAGATCGACATTAGTGAAAGTTAAGGACAAATTAGCAAAGGAAGAACAACAGAACATTGTGTATGAGATTCACTGTTATGACTGTAATGCTACCTATGTTGGAGAAACATCCAGGCAATTGAATGTAAGATTGAAGGAACACAAACAATGCTTGAAAAATGTTCCAAAATCCTCGGTCGATTTAAAGAAACTTGAAAATAAGTCAGCGATAGCGTTACATGCGTTAGAAACAGGACACAAGATTAATTTTGAAGGGACCAAAATACCTCAAAAAGGTTTTAACACCCATAAAGAAAGATTGACAGCAGAAGCTCTGCATATATGGGCGAACAAGAACAGCCTGAACCGAAAAGATGGTATTCAACTGGCAACTACTTGGCAAATTTCGTTTGACAAGTAAATTTGGAACCTATCTCTTGTTTAAACCTGTTTTTTAATATCACATGCATCGTTATTATTTTGAAAGAATTCAATGAGTTTTTTAAACAATACAATTTACGTTTTGACATGTACATCGATGTTTCATTATCAATTTTTCATCCTTGAACTTGAACTTTATTTATTCCTTCATATCAATCTCTCACACATACATACATACCTACACACTCACACACATACGATTTGTTACTCAGTTAAGTATTTCCATGTAGTTGAATTCTTCACACGATTTGTAGTTAACTGACTCATTTTATCCTATTTTACAAAATCAACATCCAAATACGATTGGTTTAACACAATATAATCCTGATTGTTAAAAAGCTATATATTTCTTTGATAATTTTGATTTTGATTATTACCCTGAAGAAGTCCAGACAAGTTAGCTGGACGAAACGTTGGAATTAGTTATATTTCAATCGCTGAGAATATTTCAAATATAATTTTCACTTATAATGAAAAATTGATTTTGTTACTGATACGAGAATCAATTATATCAAGTAATTCTTGGGATAAGAATTACATTTGTACATTTTTGAAAGTTGTTGTGTAGGAGATATATAAAAGATATATTTCATGTATTTCATCAGTTATTACTTTCTTGTGTGCACTATTTTTCAATATTTGGTTAAATTCGATACTTCCTATTTCTTATGGATAGGGTCTTGGTGTACCGTTCAATATTGCAAGTTATGCTTTATTAACATATATGATTGCTCATATTACTGGTTTAAAACCTGGTGAGTTCGTTCACACAATTGGCGATGCGCATATTTATTCAAACCATCGTGAGGCGTTACTTGAGCAGGTAAATTCGAATATTACTGTTTGTATTTGTTAAGATCTATGATAGACAACATTTGTTGGTTACAACGGAATTAACACAACTCCCTGTTTTCTTTCGGAGAAGTTTTTCCTTGTTAGCTACTTACTTTCAGATATTCTGATACTTTATTTTCTACTTTGTTTATATTTGTAATTTCCTTGCAGTCGACCAGTTTTGTCGATCCTAGTCATTGAAACAGTTGCTTGTTTTCTAAAAATGAGTAAGGAGTTATTGAGCTTTGTGCATATTCTGACTTAATACTTGACAACTTGGTCTAGGATTCATCCTGTAATAAATTATATTATGTAGAGGATTTACTTATCGGTTGTCAATGCTCCTCATACCTTATACTACAGTACCGATCAATGCTTATCAAGGAAAGGATATGTATATATCCTACTTCGTTATGTATGTTCTATTGAGTTAATATGTGTAGAATAATGGTATGTAAAAATTTAAATATTAATTTTACCTAGGATACGTATATTTCAGTCACGGTAATGTTAAATGACAAAAGCAAACAAAACCATTGAAGTTCGGTAATACATTGACTTAAAGAATGATAAAAGGACTCAGTTTTTTAAGCCATAGAGAATACAGGAAGTGGAGAAACACGTACAATCAAATGCTAATGTAAAACAATCGAGGTTAAACGTAAGTAATTGACATGGTCAAATATATAGTTGGTGAAATAAATGGAAAAATTAGAGCAGTTTGTCTTTTCAAATTTTAGAATAATCCGTATAGGGGTGTAACGATACGAGTTGTTACGAGGTTCCTCTGTAGAAAATCGGACATTAATTTGGAAATATAATATTTATTTTTGTGGGATAACACTAACGATATATGAATGTATTTCAAAAACTGGTAGCATAAAGAAATGTACCATATAGCAGAATGATACGTGAGGGAGGAGCGTATGTTACAGAAATATAGTACTTTAGGAAAAAAGTACGAACTATGTACGTAGGTGCTGAATAACCATGCGATTATGAACGAGTTAATATACTTATGGCCGTTACCTCTATGAACGATAACTATTGGTATAGTCAGATAATGCATAGTCTGTATTTTTGACCATATATATCGGGTTACTATTAAATATGTATTAGTAGGATGACCAAGGGAACAGAAAAGTGACCGTAGAGACGAGATACACAGAGTCATATTCCTTTTTGATCGTAAAGCTTTGTAATTTTTTTTAGTTGAATGCCACCGACATCGTTTTGTCGCACAACTACTAAGGCATGACGACGATAGTATTACGTACGATCATAGTTGAAGGACGAATGGAACTTACTTAAATATGACGATTGTGTTTTTTGGGAGACTAACTCTAAACTCTTGATTTACAGTGCAGTGCAAATGCATATTGATTGGAGTTATTGAACTATGCTTAAGGGCAATAAATGATTCATCATGCATTTATATGAATACATAGGTAAGATGAAGGTGTTCGTTATCAGTGCGTAGTTTCAAAAGTTGCGTTTTGTTCTTAATAGTAAGGATTATCGATTTATTGTCCGTTGCGTGACTCCAGTATAACTAATTGGCTACGTGTTCGAATCCCGTAAGGTTGCATTCTTATTGATTAACCACAAATTGAAAGCTTTTTTTCGATGTTATAGCAGTCTATATAAATGGCTTAGTTTCTAAATTTGGAATTATACTCCTGACTAGATTGTGATGTTCAAGGTTATATACTGTTACCGTTCGAACTGTTACAGAAAACCATTCGTTTTTCCTCCTTTGAAAACGATCGCAAATATGTCATCAAAGATTTTACATACACATCACTTTTACCTCAATTTGACTGTCATGAAATCTTAATCAGAAAAGTTAAATCACTAAAACTAATTACATCCTCCTATTCCTTTTTACGACATTTTTATAGGTTAAACGTGTACCGCGGCCATTCCCCAAATTGGAGATCGTTCGAGAGGTCAAGAATATTGATGATTTTAAGTTTGAAGATTTTAAACTGATTGATTATAAACCTTATCCAAAAATAACTATGAAAATGGCACTTTAAATGATTGTTTAACAATTTTCGTTAATTAAAATTATTTCGTGTTATTTAAACCCAGATTTCAAAATACATACTTTCTAATCACTTAGTTCTGAGTCATTTTTCAAAAAAAAGTAAGTTAACAATCTGATTCTGTTAATGTTGTCGGTTATCTTTTAACAATATGAATAACTAATAGCTTTGTAGAGTTTCACTCCATCTAATTCATTTGGTCCCTAGCTTGTAGCATATATTCGAAGTTATTTCGGATAAAACAATATTATTGTTTTTCATGTCGTAACTACTTAATTCATCCAAAAACAGGATTTTCGTAAGTAAAATTATAGTAAACAAGAACAACCATACATTCGATACTTTATTTGCTAATACTTCATAAATTGTCTTAAACTTCATCGTTCCTTTATTGTTATTACAACTACTCTCTGTTCTCGTTCTCTTCAATTCGGTCTTCCTAACCTTCTGTTGCCAGGCATTCCACTTCTGATTTGTGTTATGTACTGTTTATGTCTGTCGAAATAAGTAGCATACACCATAAGGTTACATGTCGGCCATTAAAATAGCATATTAGCGTTTATTAATTCTATTACACATATATATTAGTGATCTTCTGAAAGGATACCAACAAAATGGAAAAAGTGAGGCTCTAAAAATACTTGGTATTGGTTGTTTGAATCGATTGCACGGACCAGTGGCTAGCCGAACTCGGTAGCTAAGTGAATAACGCGATGGCTTCTGAAGCGAACGGTACTGGGTTCAAGTCCCGGTATGGAAATCAACTCATCCATCTGACGAGTTCCAGATAGGATGGAACCTATGTCCTGGATTCCACTGCTAGCTACCATCCATCTCTGCTTCTAAGAATATCAGTTATAAAAAAGCAAGACCCAAGAACTAGTGAAACGGAGGTATTAAACTTCCACAATGATATAAAATACCAGTGATTAGGCTCATAAACTGGCTGACTGACTAATACTAACCTCATCAGCGAGGGTACAAAAATCCAGAAGTCAAGAACGTTAGTACTGTATATGATACTAAGGTAGGGTGATGATAAATGCATATTTTCACTTGTTTTTATTTATTATCAAGTTGAAAATTTAATAGTTTTGGTTTTTTCAATGTCTAACTGTAAGAAACTGAACTAATGATGACGTAATACTTAAAAAGTAATTACCTATTAAGGTAGTTTATCCTTGTTCACTTCCTTTCCTAAATCTTAACATGTCAACGAAGACAACAATCGCATCAGATTTACATGAATAAGTTTGATCTCAGTTATCTGCATCAGTTACTCATAGCTCCAATTCTTATTTTAAAAAATTATATCTACATTTAGGGACAAACAGAAAGAACAACAATTACATCTAATTATTTGCGATCTATTTGGTTTGGTCAACACATGTTATGTTTGTTACCATTGATTAGACTCTGTTTTCAAACTGAATAAGGTTAGGATTAATCATTTAAATGATATAGCTTTATATTATTCGGCTCAAATTATTTTATTCAGTCTGTTCGACAGCATAAAATAATGACGTGTGGAATTCGTTAAGTCCGTTTTCTGTTGTGAGAGAAGAACTGTTGTACATGAAATAGTGCTGTAAATATTACGTTTGTTAGTCTATAAAGGTTTTTTGTTAAAATCTTGACAATTGTAGATGATTCATATGGAATACCAGTATTTCGCTTAGATTCTGACGAGTTTTACTTGTAAAGAAGAGATTAAAGATTAAAATAATGACTTGTCTTGCTAAAGCTATGTTAAAATTCATTTTATATACAACAGGTCTTTTTTATGTCGAACTAATAATCATGAAAGTTCTGTTTACTTTCTTGAGTGGATGTGAGTAACTGTAGACACTGTTAGCAAACTACACGTACAAGATACTGAAATCTCTTCAGTTACGGTAACATGCATATTAATGAACGTGTCATTTCTTAACGAAAGGAGACTACTATCAACTTTAACTTGATTTCAAACGCCCTAACTTCTGAATGTAGTTCATTTGCAAAAGATATCCTACAGTTCCTATATTTTAGAATAAATTGCTGATTTTGCAGTCAGACCAAATCACCTCACTTCTGGCTGCCTATACCCATAGGTATAAATGACCTCATTGGACTCATGCTACCGATGAGCCTTAGTTTGTTCATTTGTAGTGATAAATAACTACTCCTTGGACGCTACTAGCTGAAGTTGTTAGGCGACGCATGATTACCAGATTACAGCATGATCTTACATCAAAAGATCCTCACGAGTCTCACATACTTCTCCCAGTCAACATCACTTTGTTTGTCCGAAAATTTTGTAATGAATTTAAAACAATTAGTGTTAAAATCTTAATTATATACGACCTAAATAAAATAAGGAATGAACATATATAACACCTTAAATGACAAGTCATAATATAACCAAATAATGGTACATTCTAGACGACAATGATTAATACATACTTTTGTAAATTTTCACACAATTTATTTAAATAATTACGATGAGCAACGTCACGAATCAACTTAATCATCACGTACAATGAAAGCAAACAGTCGGTACAAATATAAACTAACAGTAAAATTTAAATTTCACAAAATGGTGATAGGTCATCTTATGGAATATGACTACTAGCTAAAACAGACTTTACACAATGAGATGTTCAGCGTAGAGTGAGGTGACAGTGAGTTATTTAAAGGAACAATACTGTATGACTTCCAATATCTTGTTGTTTTATAGTTCCATTTTCTAAAATATATATTAGCCTTCAACCAAAAATACTAACGTAAAGCGATAGAATGGTGATCAAAACACTGGTCTTTTCAATCGGTAGGTCACAAGTCTGAACTTTACCTCAGCGACTTCATTTAAGGAATCTGGATGGTGTAACTAATATTGATGGTGGGGCTTAAAATCAAGTACTGGAATTTAACCGTAACAAATAGGTTGTCCAACTGATTTTTTTTTAAGTGGCTAAATTAAAGTGATGTGTCAGATTATAGAGTGAGTTACCAGAAAGATAGACAATGGGTAAAAATGAACACATTGCAGAAAATAAAATTGATTTTATCGATATAAACGGAAGTTATTTCGAGAGTGAATAAAAAATTATGCACAATGGACAAGCTATTATTCGGAAGTGAAGCGTTCACATAAATATACTGATAGATGCCGCTGGAACATACCAATAAAAATAAATCAAGAACTAATGATGCATATTATATAAAGATTTTAATGTGCAAGAATTTCACAACAGAAAGAAACAAAAAAAAGAATTACAGGCAACCTGTAGGTAGTTTCCATGAAGTATACAGTGAATAACAAAATTCTAATCAATGTCTTTACAGTATTTTAGCTATTTTTCCTGAATGATAAATGAAATAGATAATCTAAAATAAATTTAATCAATCGTGAATGTCAGCTAATTATTTTATTGGAGCAAATGAAGTTTCATTATTTATCATCAATTGAGAATAGTTAAAACTAATAATTGTTGAGCATTAACACAAATCACATACAAAATAATTGTTTGAATACATTCATTTTGAAAACATAAATAAATTGATGGTAGATTGAGAAAAAAACACACAACTGATTTCCTTATTGTATTATTTATTCTCACGGGAAGTACAGAAAATCAGTGTAAACAGATAGTAATATTCAAAAGTTGCATATAATATGTTTATTTAGTAGGCACCAAATGCACTACCATTCAATTCTTTTTATCTCCGCAATAAACTATGAAAGGAAATTACTTTAATGTTTAGGTATTCAATACATAAAATTAAATGATTTCTATCCAGGTATTCAGATTTAACGTTACAGGAAATCATAGATCTAGGCTTCGTCTATCTAGTACTTGTCTTTAATGCATGGCTACAATGTTTTGAGAATTAATGTTTACTAACATTATTGTATAGTATACTCAGTGATCACGGTTAGCATATTCTGATCGTAATGTCAAGTTGAGAATATTTTTCATGAAATATTCAAGGATAAAACTTATATCTAAGTCGAGGTGTTTTAAAATGATCCTATTGTCAGTCAAACAAAATAATTCTATAATGATAGTATAAATGTGTATTCAGTATAAGCACTCGGAGGTAGATGAATTAAATCTGCACAATAATTGACATCATAACCAATGAAATCTAGTCATCAATTATTTGATAATGTTTTGAAACTTGATATTTATCCCTAGAGACATATTTCTTGATTATCACTTAAGTATCTTGAGGCAGTTTTCATCAAAGGTATAATAAATCAATTATTTTTCACTCTATCCATTTATATATATGAATACACATTAGTCTGAAAAAATAAAATATTGAAGAAGACCAATGATGGTTAAGATACAATAAAACTAGGATTCAGATTCTATCGAAAAATCAATGTTTAATCAAGAATATCGTATCATTATTTAGTTGAGTATAACCTTCACAATAAAAATGAAACTAAGAGTCAGTTAGAAAAACAGATTTCTTTATTAACACATGTTATATAATACGAGAATAGGAGTTTGGATCCTTATGGTTAGTTTGTAGATCCACGCTAAATTTTATTTCATCTTCAATTCATACGTCATGCAAGACATAGATGTAATAAATATATGAATATATTTGAACTGTACGCAGTTAAAATTCAGCAAGCTAGATACTTAAAAGATAGTGGAGAATATTTATGGCTCAGTTGGGTGGTTTTATTAGAGCTTCGTTCTCTGAGCTGGATGCTGTGATCGTGAAGCTTTCATTATTCTTCTGAACAAACATCGGTAATAGTGAGGTTGTCGAGTCTCTCCACATATGATTGAACTTAATTGGTTATTGTTTACCGTTAACCTGTACTTAACGGCATATTTCTTTTGACTGTTGACAGCTATCAAACGCCATGATATATCTTCACTTATGTTAACGCATGTAGACAAATGTGGATTGACATTCGACTGGGAAAATGTTGTAAATTTGTATAGAGAGAATAAAAAGAAGATTAATGAATTGTTAGGAACTTAGGATTC